CTTACTTTATACTTTATGTCCCTATTAAACCACCTAGGTTGCAATTTCCTAGATTTATTCTTTGGGTTTGAATTTCCCCTTCTTTTCTAGTGGACAATAAATGGGTAGAGTATGGGCCAGGCCTTCATCTTGTAAGACAAAGGAGAGATTCTATGAAAAGTCCCAAAAACACATTAAACACTTTAGGTATGCTATTTTAGGTAGGCTATTTTTTATAAAAGAAGCAGATTAAAAGAGTGATATTAGTGTGTAGTTTCAGTGATATTTTCTGGAAGTTCAGAGCCTCGTATCTACTACACCACTTTAAATAACACTTTTATTTTCCGTTTTGAAAGCAGTACTTTCTTCCCAATTAACATTGGGAATTAACAGTCCGTCAAGGTTTTAGTAGTACACAAACATACACCTGTGAGCCAATAGTACTTGTACCTAATGTGTTGAATGGAGAAGGAATAAAGAAGCAGGAGAAAAGACCTGAGTTACTTTGATAAGGGTCAAATTGTTATGGCAAGAGCAATCACAAAAATTGCAAAGTTTGTGGGGTGTTTACGGTTGGCCATGGTGAGTACATCCTATTTCAGGAACCTACATTCTATGTTCAGGACCCACAAACTTCTGTCACATTCCCACCACAGAAACTTGGCCCATCTATATATATCTGTATTTAAGGCTATCAGACATCTAAAAATACCAGGGAATACATTAACAATATAATCAGTAAGATGAAGCCTTTACCTGAGCTTTTTTCTTCTTCACCTCCAAGACCTTCTGGAGATGTTTCTTCTGTTTCTTAGTCAATGGCTGCTTCTTGGGAACATGTTTCTCCACATCCTTCTTCTTTGTTTTGGTGGCTGGAAGCACCAAGGCATTGCACTCGTCGACACCTTTCAGGTTTTCATCTAAAGAAAGTAGTACATTAGTACTAGTCCAAAGGCTTCTCATTTAAACATGCTGTAAAGGCTGCGATCAATGGTATAAACTAGTTCGTATTTTGTAGGTGCCAATACTGTAGTTAATCTCTGGGTGCAACATTAAACATTAAATTTACCTCTACGTGTAGAGCACAGCAACGTAAAACCAAGAGGGATAACAAAACATGCAGTAATCAACGACCCAACTTGGCATATACATAAGGTTACGCTAAGCTTCCAAAGAATCCACAGGTACAAGAGGAAGTACCACCGGATAAACAGCAAGATCCCTAATCCAGTAAATCAAGTAATTAAAGTTACATGTAAAGTTCAATGTGCTGACCTTCAAGTTCCACAGTCACGTCGCTCCGCACCTCGTTTGTCTCGGCCTTTGAGTCAGATTGCTGTCTTCCTTTCCAATTGTGTTTCTTTCTCAGTCTACCCATAGCCAGCACATGCACTGTAAGGAGTGACTGAGCCTAAACATTATAACATTCTTGCATACAACTAACATGCAATAAAGATGCATTAAAACAATATACAGTAAATATATTTCTATATAAGGAAAGTTAGAACAATGTGTCAAACGTGCTATATACGGTTCAATGCGTTTCTATAAATGTCTACGCATAATTGACACTGTTGTATCTTAATCAGCTTGTGACTTACCGAAGAGATGCTACCCAAGTTTGATGGATTGAATAGTACAGCAAAATCGCGTTAAAACCGGAGCCAATGAACCGTTTTATTAAAGCACAATAAATTAAAACTGAATATGAAAACGATGTAAAAATCAAACCTAGAGAGGGTTCCAAATGTAATCCACATGTGAGTACAAACGAATGTGCATCCAACTAACAGTTCCGCCGTAACACCGGGATTCTGAAATAACGTTCCGGTGTCGAAACTTATGTTTCCTATCGAAATATGCTACTAATCTCAGGTTCATATTCGTTATTTTTTCAGCGCCTGTAAATTTGTGTTTCCTTGGTGTGGAAACTTCGGCCGGTGGTAACAGCATATAAATCTGAAAACACGCATTTTGACTAGGAAACATGCTAGTTTTGCTGCGCAATGCAGAAGTTAATATATAAAAATGTAAATAAAAAAAAAGAATAAAAGGCATACTTTTCAGGGGAAAAATATATTATTTTCAAAGAATTACGATATCATCGTGCCATTTAAGTACGATTACTTCAAACATAAATCTATCTCCATGATTTAACTCGAATGAAATGTATTCATAGTACTGTATACAAACTTGCGCACAAAACAGGAAAACATTGTAGTCGAGATGCCAGTCCTTCGCTGGGCACACAACCAAACTCTGAAGGTAATTCGGAGAAAGCAGTTAATCTGTTTTTTGTACTGCGGGAGGAAATTTGCACAAACGTGGGGAAGACAGGCAAAGTCTCACCTTTCCACCCATACTGCTAGTGTCATTGCCAGGATTGCCAACTTAATTGTCTAGCTGGTTGGCGTGAGATTTTTAGTTCGAGATAAGTCTGCACGCACACTTACATGTATGTAACAGTTTTATTACCTGGTAAATAGTCTGTAGATTTTGCAAACGAACCCAGCGCTTTTGATGTAGCTAATTTTAGGTTTATAATGTTTATAATAAAATGCATGGTGTCAGTTAGTAGTTTCCTGCAGCTCAAACTAGTTTCACAATGTGTCCAAGGATATCGATCCCTTAATTGACTGAAAATGAATTCTGGGCCACATAATGGTACTGGTTGAACGACCTTACTTTTAAAATAAGACAAGTTTAAGAGTAATTAAAACATCCATTAATTAAGTGAAGGTCACAGCTACAATAATCTCTAAATTAAATAACATGGAATCAAATTCGTTTTAATTTGAAGTTAAAGTAAATGTTTACAGTAGCATACAGTAGGATCAGGCATAGCATACAAAGCTGCCAGTGCTTCCTCATATAACACAAAATACACAGTGCGTGGCATGTTTCATAGTTTTTCTCTTTTTGCCGTGAAATGTTTATTATATGCAAGTATAATTACTAGGATAATCATACTAGTGTAATATATATAATAATGACTGTTGAAGGCCAAACTGATAAAACTAAACTGATATATATATCTAAGACTAGTGAACTACTACATATGGCTGCAATAAATGAGTGTGTAATAGCTCTGTTAGATACTTCCAAATATATGTGTTAAAAAGAATGTGTAAAAAAGCATCAAAGGGTGCATGTTACTGAAGAATCTTTTCATTCATTCATTGCTGTAAATAACATTTTGTGTCCGGAAAAGCTACTTTTGCATCGTGGTGTTCTTGTTACAAAGCATAAGCCCATCTTATTCAAATATGATATATTTTATCTTCTAGGACATACAATAACAGGTATAAAAAGAATACACACAAATGTTTGGTAAATGATTTTTTCTGTTTAATTAAAGAGACAATGAATACAATAACTTTTTTATTCCAATACAATGTTTCACATACTTTTTCCAATTCTGAGGGGATAAAACAAGGCCCTTTGTGTAGGAAGTATCACTTTGTTGATTTAGGGGTTACCTGCCGTGTATCAAAATAGAATCCTTCTTGGCTATTCAATAGACAATGTTACTTTTATACTAGGAAATTACTTTTGTAATAATCTTTTATACAGGACAAGGTACGCCCGATGAGTGAAATGAAAACGCACAGCCTATCCAGCTGCCATTGAACTGCATGAAAATGAGCAAATTATTATGCAATAATGGGTGTCTGTGCAGAAGCAGAAATTGTACAGCTATCCTCTTCCAGGGAACGCCTAATTATTTCAGGGCTCACACTCTTACATGTACACAAGCACCCCTCACCTTGTCCCCCTTTTGCTCCCAGTTTCAGGCAGTCCTTTTAGTGGCACATATTCTTCTCCATTCCCTCCATCATCTCCTGCGAAGCTTTCTTGAACTGTCCTTCGGGCTTCACGGGACAGTTTTTCAAAACGGCGCAGAAAAAAGATGATTGAGGCCAGCAGGATGGCCTGCAGCACTATGAAGATGAAGAGGCTGACCTGTGAGGCAAGCGCCAGGCTGCAGTACCAGTACCTGCAGGACTCCAGTACTTCTTCCTCTGCCAAGTACATGACTAGCCTCCCCTGCAGACCCGGAGGCGAGCTGCAGGTGATATTGCGATAGTTTTTGCGGTTCTCCTGTCTGAGAAGCCAGCTGCGCAGGTAGAGCACGCCACAGTCACAGACCCAAGGGTTGCCATAGAGAGACACAGAGTGCAGGGCGAGCATATGGTCCAGCAAGCCATTGGGCAGAGAAGTGAGCTGGTTGTCATGGAGATGGATCTCTCTGGAGTCGGGAGGGAAGGCATTGGGCAAGTTGCTGCCTCTTAGCATACGGCCACTGCAATCAACATACCCCCTTGAACAGGAACACACAGATGGACAACCCTCAGTCACCAGTAGAGGGAGCAGGAGATACAGGAGCTGACTGAGGTATGGATAACTGATCTTCATTTTTCAAATGGTGCCTGGAGACAGAACCATTAAGTCAGATAGTGCTGAATTTAAGGCGTTAAATAAATAGTAAGGATGACTGAAATAGCCAAGAAATGAAAAAGTAGAGTAGCTATATTACAAAGGGTTTGTCAGAATACATGACTAACACAATCGACAATCTGCAGTGCAGGTGAACATAGTATTCTGTGACTCAGATCTTGTGCTGCCAGTAGTAAAAACATTGTTTTACTATGACGCTGATGTATGTGTTTCCATCATTTTTCAGTTGGTTTTGTTCTTGGTCCTGTTTCTTTTAATAAACATTCTGCCCATAATTTAAGCACATCTAGACCTCTCCATAATAGGATTTTAATTTTGTAAATCTGAAAATATACAAAACAGCTTAATAATATATGCATAAAATGTGCACTAGCTAAAAGTTACTGGTTCATATGCTATAAGTGATTGTTGTACCTTGAAGAACTTACTTCCATAAATGTCTAGCTGTATAAAAGGGTTTAGGTTACATAAGTTTAACTTACATAAATTGATTTGAATTATTTTTTGCAAATTGACTTTAATGACAACAATAAAAAGCTTGATAATATTGCGTTGTAAGTATTCAAAATACAAACCAGTTATGAGCATGATGCTTACCTCGTGTTTGCAAGTTGTAGCACAGACAGGCTTGTGGAGAGGTTCCTAATAGGACTACGACAGCTGCCCTCTGTTGATAAAGCCCCTCTGACAGGGACAGGAAACAGGAAGTGTACTTGATCTGACATTCAGTCCATCTTCACCAATTGCCATAGCTCCATGCAGTCCAAAAGTACAGTCAAGCTATATTAGACAATAACAGGGCACTGGCATGGCACATCCTGCTCAATAAACCACAGCCTTCTGGTGACATCTTCATATGACTTCGCGTTAAGAGCTGTTGGTGGCCTTTTAGCAATTTATTGTCATTTGTCACAAAATCAATACACATATCACCAACCATGGCCACATATAACAGTGGTTTAATATTTCAATTATATTTGACCACGTCTGTGAGAAGATGGAAAACCAGCCTTTCAAAGCCATGTAAGTGTTGTTTAAAGGAGAGTGACGTGTGGCTGAGCTGGAGAAGCGAGTGCCATGGAGATAAGCGGTGACTCAGCTCTCTGGTTTGGGTCAGATGCCCAGAGTTTGAGCCCTGGGGTTAACATGCTGAAACGTTGCATTTCAAGTGGACAAAAATGTCCCAATACTTAAGAAAAACAATGCAGACTGAGAAACAGCAAGTGACCAGGTTGGTGTATGAGTTTTAATTCATTGTCATCATGTGTGCAGAAGTTTCACTTGCACAAAGCAGTAGTACTAAAATAAGCAACGTGGTCCACTAATAAAGCGGATGGCACAGCTCATATACAGTGAAGTGTGTACAAAGGGGCTCTAAACACACACACATACACACGCACAAGCATGTTATCACCTCCTGAACTATGCTCACTCACATTTCCATACGTACCTTGATAATTTACTTGGTGGATCTGTAAATCTTTCCAAAAAATTATTTAGCATACACAATTTTAAAGTCTGAAAGCCAAGCAGAAACAGAAAATACAGTCTATTCTGACCAATCAGAATCTTCTTCAATACCAAGAGAATAAGAAAAAAAATCCTGACAATGTTTTTTGCTGCTCTGCATGTATCTCAGTTTCTATTTATTTAAATAGTTTAAATACAAAAACACACAAAAAGTATTATGATTAAAGTACAGGAAGTGCGCTTCGTCTTGAAATAATGTCAGGCACTTACAACCTGCGTTTCCTCATTTCCATTGGCTATTATGTGGATGTGTAATAGTACACTAAGATGAGAGTTGCCATTTCAGTAAAAAAAATATTGCATTCACAAGAGATATCACATGACTTGATGAATAACTATTTCTTTTGTTATTGTTTTTAAACTTATTATTAACTACACCGAATAGCTGTTGTCTTTAGCACACGTACCTGCTGTGTTGGCTTGTATAAACATAACCTATACATCTTTTATGCCTGGAACAAAGCTTTCTTTTCATTTAGCTTTTTAATGAAGCAGTTGCTACTGGGAAGTGGATCTTAAAGAAACACTCACATACAATATCCAGAAATGAACTGACTGGCATGAACACAAGTAGTACAACTCACAGACAAATCAAAATAATTCTGTAAGTGTCCTGTTTCTTGGAATGTAATTAATTCTGTTCAGGACTGTGGAGCAATTTCAGGGATTCCAGAAAATCCAGGTTGGACAATCTTAAGATCCATGTCAATGCAACACTCTCACTCACACTCACTCTGAAAAATAATCATGAAACAAGTAGAGAATAAAATATTAACACCATAAATTGTATCAACAGCTTGGACAAACTTAAAAAGTCATATTCATAAATACAATCTTTTAAATATTACACCATATTAATTCTGTTAATATTATTAATAGGTTTTAAATGAACATCAAGTACAGTTTAAAAAACCATGAACTCCTAAACACCACATTGATCATGCTCCTGCATAGTGCCATACAGACCAGTGGATATCACAATTATACAGGCCCATTCACTGAACAGCAAAGAAGTCCTATATAGCTATATACACATTAGATATTTTGTGGGCATTCATTTTTATAATGTAAATAACATAGTTTAGTGACCTTAAGAAAAACTGCTAGTTTGGAAAGAGGGGTCCTTTGCACTACTGTGTTTTCTAGCATTTTGAAAGCAAAAAAAAAAATCACTGATCCTGCTCATGCATTTGCTGTTGCATCTTCTGAATCATCTCCTGCATCCTCTTCAGCTGTAGAGACAGGGAGAGCTGCTATGAAACATACTTATGCAGCGTGATCCCATTTCAATTGGTAAATATCCTGATACTGCCACCATGTGGACAACATTGCTGTTACCTTACATTATGACTACCCATAATTACCAGCATTGCTTCTTCTATAAATTGTTTGTAAGGTTACTAACATATACATACATACTTTCAGCCGAGTGACCATGTCGGTATCTACAGCACCAGTAATCAAGGTTTAATTTTATCCAGCAGAAAACCACAGATATTAGGCACCACAAGGCCCAGAATCTGTGTAGATTTTGCGAAACAGTGATCCTTTACCTAGCAGTTTTTAGTCTTTTTCACTTCATGTTTATTTAAATGTGCATCTATATATAGACTATATTGCAAAAAGTATTGGGACATCCCTCCAAGTCATTGAATTCAGGTATTCCAATCACCTCCATAGCTACAGGTGTATAAAATCAAGCACCTATGCATGCAGACTGCTTCTACAAACATTTGCGAAAGAATGGGTCGCTCTCAGGAGCTCAGTGAATTCAAGCATGGTACTGGTACTAAGGATGTGCAATAAGTCCATTTGTGAAATTTCCTTGATACTAAATATTCCACGGTCAACTGTTAGTGGTATTATAACAAAGTGGTAGCAATTGGGAATGACGGCAACTCAGCCACAAAGTGGTAGTCCATGTAAAATCACAGAGCAGGGACAAAAGCACACCACCACTGGACTCTAGAGCAGTTCTCTGGAGTGACGAATCAGGCTTCTCTGTCTGGCAATCCGATGGATTGGTCTAGGTTTGGTGGTTGCCAGGAGAACGGTACTTGCTTGACTGCATTGTGCCAAGTGTAAACTTTGGTGGAGGGGGGATTATGGTGTGGGGTGGTTTTTCAGGAGTTGGGTTTGGCCACTTAGTTCCAGTGAAAGGAACTTAGAATGCTGTAGCTTTCTAAGCCATTTTGGACAATTTCATGCTCCCAGCTTTGTGGGAACAGTGGGATGGCCCATTCCTGTTCCAACATGACTGCACACTAGTGCACAGAGCAAGGTCCATAAGGACATGGATGAACGAGTCTGATATGGAGGAGCTTGACTGGCCTGCACAGAGCCCTGACCTCAACCCGATAGAACACCTTCGGGATGAATTAGAGCGGAAACTGCAAGCTAGGCCTTCTCATCCAACATCAGTGCTTGATCTCACACATTCTCTCCTGGAAGAATAGTCAAAAATTCCCATAATCGCACTTCAAAACTTTGTGGACAACCTTCCCAGAAGAGTTGAAGCTGTTATAGTTGCAAAGAGTGAGTCAACTCCATGTTAAAGCCTATGTGTTAAGAATGGGATGTCATTAAATTTCATGGGTGTTTAAAGACAGGTGTCCCAGTACTTTTGGCAATATTGTGTATTACATGCTCACACATATATACACTGTACAAAACTCTGTACTTTCTTTTTTACTGCTATCATAGATTCTGTATTTACATATTTATACCACACCATTGTAACACTTTATAGATGCAGATTCACAGACTGTTATATTTTATTATTTATCACACATGAATTTGTTATACAGCTGTTTCTAATACTTTTGCACTGTTTTGCAGTTTTTAAATTAGACACCAAATAACATTTCATTGCACAAAATATTCTACTTTGTGCAATGACAATGAAGTTGAAGTCTTATCTGATATAATTTTATGTTCAGAGAAATTCAGAGATGCTTCACACCAAATCAACAGGAACTCACCTCCTCATCCTTCATCTTAATCAGCTTCTCCGTCTCCACGTCCGGGGTGGGCAGGGGCAGGATGGGTATTGGGCTGTCCATGCGATTGTCCTGGGCCAATTTACTACGAGAGACAAGATGTGCAGTGAGTCACCCTGGTCAAAATCCACCCACACACACCTAAAACTGCAAGCATACACATGCAAAACATTTTAATTAATTTACAATTAGTACTGATATAAGATATAAGATAATATATAAAATATTAGATAAGATAAAAGATAACAGTCATGTGTGTGGAGGATGAAAAGAAGCGGGCTGAGCACACAGCCCTGTGGTGTCCCGGTATTGATACTGAAAGCAGTAGAGGAGTGGGAACCCAGTCTGACCCTCTGGGAGCGACCTGACAGAAAGTGCTAAAACCATGTCTAAGCATTCATTTATACATGAGAACTGAGTGAGACGCCATTTGCACATGTGATCAGGTGTCCAGCTCTGTCCTACCTGGTCATCTGCTGTATGCACTGTGCTCTGTAGTTTTCATAGTGCACGTCACATGTCACATCCTTTAGATCATGCATGTGTGTTCGGATCAGCATGTTTCGCAGCTTCACAAAGTCACAATGCGATTGGTTCTCCACTGTGGAAGCAAAAGGGATGAAGTGGTCAAAGGAAACTAAGAATCTCATCCCCCCCACATCGTAAAATAATCTGCTATAGATATAAATAACTCAGGACTTCAATAGAATTCATCTATGATAAAGTTGAGTACTCTGTGACTGTGACTCTTTATACTCAACTGCTTGGTTGAAACAAAATTCTGGTTTGGATTTTTACTCTCTGGACCTGAAATGTCCACCTCTGAATACAACATTACAGCACAACTGAGAAAGACAAGCACAAGATAAATATGCTACTAGTGCTGGACACAAATTCCAGTTTCTGTTCATACAGAAATACACCTACTGCTACCATATGGACAACAGCTGTAATAAACTACTGCAGAGACTGATTTTGGTATAAACATGCTGAATATAAGCCAAAACAATAATCAAGCCAGAACAAAGTCAGACTCCAGTGTTTGAAACAAAGAATAGAAACATGGTTGATTGAAATCAGCACCAAGCACTCTTCAAACATCTGCTAGCCAAACTGATAATCAGTCCCTCCAGGATTGTGTTATTCTGTGATTGAAGAAACAAATGCAAAATCAAGCAAACTCCCAAAGGCAGAGTCTCCCTGACATATTACAAGAGTACAGTACCCACCTTCCACAATGCCCCAGGGGTAGAGTCTCCCTCGCACCCGCTGACCTCTGGCCTCCACTACCGTATTGCTCCCAATCACAGCAAAGGGGGTGCTCTCCTGAGATTTGACAGTGAGAAACATGTAAAATACGCCTCAGATCCTCAGAGTTTAATTCTCTGATTTATGCAGTGTCAGCCTTCAGCAGCAGGACAGTTCTGTTAACTATCCAACTCTAATTAGAATACCAGTGACAGTATTTTATTGCTTTGCAAGATAATAATTATAATTTTCACTGACTTTCAGTTCTTTGTCTTGCTGCTTAAACTCATCATCCTCATCTGAATCACAGTCTGGAAACTGGTACACTTTGATCCCAAATTTGTCAATCTCTTCCCGTATCTGGAATCGAAAGGATTAAGCCAGACGTAAACCATCTGACATGTATGCAGTGGAACACACAATGGCAAGTACTGTGACAATGCACTCTAGAAAAAACATTATTTATTTATTTATTAACCTTTATTTAACCAGGAAGATCCCATTGAGATTAAAAACCTCTTTTTCAAGGGAGACCTGGCCAAGATAGGCAACAGCAAATGTCTCACAGTTACAGAAAATTAATCAAACACAGACAGCAACAACACACATACCAAAGTAAGTGAAATAATACAATAAAATAAAATTCAATAAAATTTAAAGTAAAATAACAGTTAATCTAACTGAAACAGTTGCATGTTATGGACTTAGCCTCAAGGATTCGTAATTTAGATTTAAAGACACTTAATGAAATAAGTTCAGTCAATTTCCATTCCTTCTGCAATTTGTTCCAAGCCAAGGATGCGAAATGGACAAAAGCTCTTTTACCAAATTCAGTTCTGCATCAGAATGGGAATTATCCACACACTGTGAAATGACATGAAAGAAATCTGTACAGTAAAGGTTCACATTCAGCCAGTCAGAATGAAACAGTGAAATGAACAGAAATACAGAGGAAGGCAACCACAGGAAGATACTGAAGGATGCAGGCAGGCAGGCCACCAGAGGAAGACAGACAGATGCAAACAGCTGCCATCTCACCCTGTCCTTCAGCTTCTTGATCTCATTTGGTGTCAGACAGTCTGCCTTGGCAATGAGAGGCACCACGTTCACCTTCTCATGAAGAGCCTTCATGAACTCCACATCCACAGGCCTTAAGCTGATTGACAGGCATCAAAGGCATGTTGAACAAGTGGTCAAAGCACAGACCATTAAAAACATACATAGATGCAATTTTATCCATTCTGCCAGAAGATTAGTTTATATATTCAGGGTTATGCAAAATGTTAAAGTATTAGTTGTAAAATGGTAGCACCAATAAAAGATTAAAATGTATCAAAAAGGTGACATATTGATATTATACATGGAGAAAGTACAAATAACTTTGGGTAAGAGTGTGTGTCTGTCTATCTACAAGATATTTCAGAATATACTGAATGCCATTTATTTATCCATCCATCTTCCACACAGTTAACTAAAACAGGGTCAAGGTGGCCGTATATGTACAGTGGTTCTCCCATATCCGTGGGTTTGGTGGCTGCAGTTTACCACGGTCCAAAATAAAAATGTAAAATGTGTAACATGTTTTTTTCATTGTTTCTTTGTCCATTAGATGCAAATGTTTTTTTGCTCTATTATCTCTTGAGAATTAAACTAAAACATCAGAATCACTTTCATTCAAGAGAGAGAGTACAGTACTGTATAATAATGTATAATATACTTTATTAATACTGTATTTAATGTTGCTAATGTCTTACTGTGCGTGATTTATCAATTACATGTTACCATATTTAAGTACACAAAAATCTCATTATATATCCGTAGTCGATTTTGGAACATATCACAGGGGACTATTGTATTACACTACCAGTCAAAAGTTTTTGCACACTGAGATTTTCTACATTTGCATGTTGTTATTCACTGAGCATTTACTAAGAATGTACTCAGTATTCTTTGCTAACAAATAAATTTACAGTATCTTCACCATTTGGGCACCTTTATTAGCAAGAAGTCATATCTTTGATTTGTCAAAGTAACCTCCTCTAGCAGTTATAACAGCAGAGAAAATTCAAGGCATCCTTTCTACAAGGGACATTAAATAATGCTGTGTTTCATGGGATGAAAAAGGTAACTAATGCATTTAAAATTAAAGGATAGCCTAGAATTTGAATATGCCATCACCACACAACCAGTTAGTAGGATGTCAGACATGCACTGTTACATTCTCTTTCCACGTTATAAAGGAAACTTGTTTTATTTGACTTATATTTTTATTTATAGTTGTTCACTCAGTAGGAATAAGAAATAATAAATCTACAGTTTATTAAAAAAATGGAAAAGTGCTAACAACCTTTGCGTGCAAAAACTTTTGACTGGTAGTGTATATTTTCATACAGGAAGCAATCTTCTCATTCTAACATTTGTTTATTTAGGGTGATGCCCCTGGGTTTTTGCTTTTAACAAATTCAGTTCTTTCAAATCACATTAAGTACTGTTTGTGAGTACCAGTTTACTTTTTATTAAGAGCTGCAATTTGTAATGTGCAGCTGAAGGTGTCATGCTCTAATTTGTTTGTCACAGAATGACGGGCAAGATAAAACTTGCTGGCATTGTCAAGAAATGAAGTTGCTCGGTATAAACACACCCATCGCTCTGCAATCCATTCACCTGAGGCACTGGACACGCCTACTCTCATCTTATATTTGTAAATACATATTGTATTTGTCTCAAGCCCTAAATAGAATGCTGAGTAAGGTAAGGTGTGATTATAAAATAAATACAAATGCATATTATTATGCAACTAAAACACCAATAAACTGCATAAATGACTAAATCTGGTGACTGAGAGATGGGACCAGGCACAGAAAAGCCGACGAACCCGTGACCGAATGGTGCAATGAAGTATAGGCAGCAGTGCACTCGGTTATCCAGAATGTTCTTCCTATTGAGGCCGCTCTCGTCTCGGAAATACTGCTCAAATTGCTGATCAATGTAGTCTGTGATTGGCTTCCAGCTGGGAAATGCAGACACACAGAAACCATCGTTGCACAAACTGTCATTACATAAGTTTCCACAAAGCTCTATTAAAAATGTGCAAAAAAGCTGTTTATTCAAGGGTGGCCTGAACCCACACCAGGAGAAATCCTGAAAACATTTCAATTATCATAATGAGGCAGCTTAGCCGTCTGACTGTCCATACAGATAGAAAACCTACAGGAAGTAAAGGAGTTCAAGAAGGGTTCTAAAAACTGATATGTCATTGGTTAAGTGATTTTTTTCTTGGTTTGAATGTTTCTTTGTTTAATTTTAAGTGTGAGTTGATATTTATTTGACTTATACTCCTGTTTTATTTAGAGGATCACTTTGGCTATGGGAGCTCTGACACAACAGTGTCATCATAGCATGTCTCCTAATAGTACTAACACTGAAAACTGAAACCATACTGCTTACCACTCATTGTTGTTAACAGCGTCTCCAAATCCAGGAGTGTCTACAATGGTCAGTTTCAGCTTTACTCCCTTCTCCTCAATATCCACTGTGTGCTTGATGATCTCCACCGTCTGGCTGATACGCTCTAGAGGTCAGACAAAAATTAGCACTTCTGCTAGGAATTTTACTACATGAGACACTATTTAGCTTATCCACATATTGATTTATTCTGTATTGAAATGGATTATACGACAATATGCAATTGTATGAAAATCTTCCTCAGCAAGGATATTTGCAAGGATATACACTATATGGACAAAAGTATTGGAACACCTGGCCATTATACCCACAGGAACTTTTATGACCTCCCATTCTAAATCCATAGGCATCAATATGAAATTGGTTCCCCTTTGCAGCTATAACAACTGGAAATATTCTGTGAAAGCTTTCCACAAGATTTTGGAGTATGTTTGTGGGAATTATTGCCCATTCATTCACTGATGTTGGATGTGAAGGCCTGGTTCACAATCTCTGTTCTATTTCATCGCAAAGGTGTTTAGTGAGGTTGAGGTCATGGCTCAATGATGGCCAGTCACATTCTTCCACACCAAACTAACTCAACCATGTCTTTATGGACCTTGCTTTGTACACTGGAGCACAGTCATGCTGGAACAAAGAAGGCAAACTGCATAGAATTCTGTTTTCATGCATCCCAGTTGCCCAAAGGAGGATGGGGTCCCCTTCTGAGTCTTGGTTCCTCTCAAGGTTTCTTCCTGCTAGAGGGAGTTTTTCCTTGCCACTGTCGCCTCAGGCTTCGGGGCTTTGGGCCGGTTATATGTAAAGTAGTTTGTAACAATGACTTGTTAAAAGTGCTATAAAATAAAATTGAATTGAATTCTCCAAAAAGTCTTGGTATGTGGAAGCATTAACACTTCCCTTCACTGGAACTAAGAGGCCTAGCCTAACTCCTGAAAACAACCTCATATCATTATCACTCCTCCACCAAACTTTACAGCAAGCATAAAGCAGTCCGGTAGGTAATGTTCTCCTGGAATCTGCCAAACCCCGACTTGTCTATCAGACTGCATTGGTGACTTCCATGCATTATGCGCCTTAGCAGTCGCCGACCCTGCTCTGTTACTTTTATGTGGTCTGCCACTTCGCAGTTGAGTTTCTGTTCTCCCTAAATGCTTCCGCTTTGAAAGAATATGACTTACAATTCAAAGTGGAATACTTTGCAGAGAAGAAATTTCACGGACCTACTTATTGTAAAGGTGGCATCCTTTGACAGTACCATACTTCAATTCACTGAACTCTTCAAAACGACCCGTTCTTTCACAAATGTAAACCTGCTTGCATGGCTAGGTGCTTGATTTAATACACCTGTGGCAATGGGTGTAAAGGAAATTCAATAATTAAGGGGTATGTACTAATACTTTTGTCCATACAGTGAATATATATTATAATAAACTCAGATATACATTATAATAAGCTCAGTGGTACAAGGAGTGTGTAGAGCATTGCTTGCAGAATACCTACCCTCAGCATTCAAAAGCTTGCGGTCTTTGTACAGGTCTGTGAGGAACAGGCTATTGACCAGAGTGGACTTCCCTAATCCAGACTCCCCTGAAGCACAGGCAGACTGTTACTCCCAGTATTTACCATCAGAGCCCTATAGCTGCAGCCATGACTGTACATGACAGGTACAAATAACAGTCATTATAAGCTGAGAAATATAAAGTGAGAATCTAATAACATACAACAAATTTCATAACTTCTTGACTATCTTGACTTACTGTTTAGTTTTCTATATAGTTATTCTTTACCTCTCGTCTATATTGTTTGTTTCGAGTAACAATGTTTTTGGGAGTCACTAATATAGTCTTGTTGTAACTCAATGACAATAAAACCTTTGAAAATTGACACTTAAAGAGAGGATTCCCACTATTACACAGGCCAGTGTACCATGTGAAGGCTGTTTGTGACACAGTTTGACTTGTGACAAAGCCTGGCTCTGCCTTACCTGCCACCATGAGAGTGAAGTCAAAGCCCTTCTTCACAGACTTCCTGTGTACCTGGTTGGGGAGGGTGGCGAATCCCACATACTGCTTGTCCTTGAGATAAAGTATGACAGATAAAGTAGAAAAAAAGAACGGCTGAGGACTTGTTAAACAAACACAAACAGGACACACTGGCATGACGAGTCAGAAAAAATGTGTTTGAAAGACAATGCCTGAAACAACAAGGAGAGGCTGCAAATGGCTCAGAAAGGTCATTACATGTCACGTATGATTCAATGAACACATTACAAAACACCCGAGAAAGGGTAAAAAGAGGGTAAAGGGTAAAAAAGTTTAATGGGCCTTTAACAAGGCACATTGTTGCAAATTACACTATGACTGTTGAGTGAGTGCAATGGGAGAGTAATTTCCAACTGTTTTCATGTGTGAGGGATAAGTCTTTGGGCCTGTCAAATGAACAACTGTGGGTCTTGAGGGCCCATAGTAGGGGGAAGAACACAAATGCTAGCATGCTTCTGAGCTCCCATCCCGGGCTGGCTGGGAATGGAACACAGGGCCTCCATTGAGCAGGCCTGAATGGCTCTTTCACCAGTCTTCCTCACTCGCCATGCAGAAACTCACCAAGAGCTTCCAAATCCCTGCTGAGGTTGTCATAACTGTCACTTGCCTCCCAAGTACCCCAAATATTTCACAAACACCAACTGTAAAGTACGGAAACAGTAAAAAAAAAAACTTGGACAGACATTTCTGTTTTTGTAACTGGGAACAGTTGGAATTAGTTATACTGGATATACAGTGGGTGTATTCAGTGTGCCATCTCTCACAGAATGTGGCTAATCCATAGCCTTTTTGTTTTGTTCTGTTAAGCATGTAAAACAGAAAGATCTTACAAATCAAACAGCCGTGTGCATCATGGTGACCTGTGATGAGAGGAATGGCACCTCTCTCAGGGCATTTCTCCCGAGGGCTGTTTGTCTGTGCTAGATAAGCATTCTCATAATGCCCCACTCATGGTTGGACATCCATAACAACAGGGCACAGCAAAACTATCCAGGCACCCACTGGGGGGCTCTGACAGTGCCCAAAAGCCCCCTCTAACCCAACATCATATCCTCTATGCAGAGGGTTACACAGCACAGTACACATGACAATAGCACCAGAGTAGTAAACAGGATCTCATCCCTTCCTAATCTCCAAACTTCCCTTCTATAGTAGCAGACCCTTGACCTGTTGAACCCTGCCTAGCTTTTTCTTCTTTTCTCTGATTTGTTCAAAGAATCCACCATCATTACTCCAGTCAGCACCAATAAGACTTCATATAGGAAATTTGTCATTCTGGTTTTAAAGCCACCATTGCTTTAACCTGCTCTAAACCTACCCCTATTCCTCTCAGAACATCTGCCACCCAGCTGTCTGCTCTGCCCCTTTCCCCCTAGGAGATTTGGTTAGCCATACTCCTGGGCCAGGCACCATCACTATACCTTCAGCCTTGTTGTCCTCACTTTGGGGGAGAGCAGACGCTCCACAAGCTTCTCCTGCAGCATGATGGCATCCATCTCAGACAGAGCAGACAGACAGAGAGGCAGAAGCTACGCAACAGGAGCAGCAGCGGTGCTGCCAAGAATAGACTTACTAGAGGAATGAGACGGAAACCACCTCCCCCTCCTACTCTCTCTCTCTACCTCTCTCCCTTAAGGGCTGCTGTTGCCTCGTGTTCTGGCATGTTCTGGAGGAGCCTAGGACTCATACATCACAACTGTTTCCTGTACCCTGCCCTGACCAGGTCAGGGTGGAGCTTCAGGGGAGGCGGCAAGAGTAAGACAAGGGAAAAGGGGGAAGGAAAAAGTACAGAGGGACAAAGAGTAAGACAAGAAGTGGGTGTGGCCAAGGGGGATAAATGCCACATTCATTCATTCAGTCTGCTATTTTTGCAGGAAAACTATACATTAACTCATGTGGTCTGAATATTGAGAAAAATGTGAGGAAAAGCTGCAAAATTCTGTGAACAGTGTAAGAAATGTACATAGCTGTTCAGAGTCAATGTCAATATTGACCAATATAACAAGATGTATAACCTACAATAATATAGATTAGTAATATATCACATAGATCAATAACATATCGCAATAAAGTATATAGTCATGTGTCATGGCACAACATAGATTATATCCACATATAAATAAAGGTTAGAGTCATTATATAATATTACTTAATCAGGTCATGTATGACACAGAAAAAAGTTGTGGTCTAAGCAAAGTCAAGGGTCGATGCTTCAGGTTCACAGACACGTGCAGTACCCACAAATTTCTCTGCACTGGTTGAAGAATGACAGGAGGAAACCAATGAACAGGAAGGCTATCAACAGCATCTTGTGAAACTTCCATTGTACTCCTTTTCTGAGTATTTCTGGTTCATTGGCCACCACATGCCTGCTGTAATTGCATTCTGAGATGGATAAAAAGACTAATGAAGGGATAAGGAGAACAATATTGTCTTATGACACACAGAACCTCAATTTCCCAGACAAGTATGTAACTCAGAATAAGAGGCGGTCTGCGTTTCCAGGGGTTAGGACTCCGTGCTGGTTCAAATCCTGTGGTGAGCAGCATGATTTCACCATTGGGTCCTAGAGCAAAGCCCTAAACCTTAAGTGCTCCAGTGGCTGATCCTACTCTCTCAATTGAACGTTTCTCTGCATAATGGCTTCTGCTTCTAAACAAATGTTATGTTCTAGTTCTGGAAAGGGACAGAGAGACAACAAACTGATAGTGTCCCAGTGTGGGAAGTCAGGGACACTGAAATATGGATATGGCGGTTCAAGTGGATGTTCTTCACAAATGCTGCTTCAGCAAGCTGTTTCCACAATACATCACACCACCTTAGCGGGGTCACAACAGAATATACTGCGCCATAGGTCTCTGTTCAGATCATTGTTGTCAAATACCAAAAGAGAATTTCTGTTTTTCAATAACTCTTCTCTTAAAATTAAGAGTATTAAAAGATACTGGGTCACAAGCTTCTCTCAATGTGTGTCCAGAAAATTTGAGGTTGTATGTGAAATAGTTGTGAATTGTTTTATTTAGGCATTCCTACTTGATTTTTATTATCCCTTTTTTGTTTGCAACTTATGAATATTCCTTTATGCTTGTGAATGCTATAAGGACTGTTATTTTGGTGAACGCACGTATTATTATATTTTTTTGGTTCTGCGTGAATATGGCACGTGGTGCGCTGTCCATCTCGGGAAAAAAAAAAGGGAGAGAACATAAGTCGGTAATGGCAGTTTAAACAGCAAGGGTTTTGGTGCCTGGTTGGAAGGGTGATCAAGGTACAGTGTTTCTTTTACTGTAAAGTTTAAGCTGTGCAGCAGTGGAATCTAAGAGGAGCTCATTTATGTTTATACGTTGTGGAATGTATTTATATTAATCTTTATTTTTTCCCCTTTCTTTTAGCTCTTACGATGAATTCATGGAAAATAAAGCCCCCCCCCCCTTTTTTATGAATCATCAGTCCCTGAACTGTTTCGATAATTCAATGGGGTAGCTACAGTATGGTCAATTTTGGTCATTGTGCCTCTTATTTATAATTTTTGACACGGCAGTTAGTAAGTTACAAATTAAGCATTGACTAATCTTACACACTCTCCCCAATATTTTTTCCCTGATAAATTTAGCTGACCAGGAAATGGCCTGCTATGGATAAAATTTCCTGAATGGGGAGGCTACCAATGAAAAATCAATATAAACTTTATTATAGAATATTCAGAGCATCATCTCGCGCCCCACAGTATTAGAATTACTGACCTGTACAATGTGCCTGAGAAATTTGCAAAAAGATTCACGGAATAAGTTTAGATGGCAGATGGTTGTGTTCACAAGATGGCAGCTGCAGACTACATTTTTCCTCTCAGCTGCCCTCTGTCTTGCAGTTCCAGTTGCAGTTCCAGTTTTCCAAACAAGTGATTTGAGATGTAGATTTTCAGGTATAGATTTTCATGCATATAACTTTTGTGAAGTGGTAATAAGAACCACAAATTAAATATCAAATAGAGTAAATATAGTAATAATAACAAATAGAATGATCCTGTTCATAATGATAATCATCTCATCCTTCTCTTTGCTTTCACTAAGTCTCTTTGCTTCAATGTTGGTGTGATTTGTCTCAAAATGTTATTATTTCTAGTTTGGCACCCATACAACACCTCTGCAAAGTTTCACAAGATCTTCACCTTTAAAACATGCCTGAAAGGTTGATCTTTCAAATACTTTTTGAGTTATGTCACTCACAGGATGAAATATTTGAAGCTATCCTACTTTTTTGATATCATTATGTGGCACTGCTTCAGTTTTCAGGTGATCTGTTTCAAAATGTGATCACTTCGAGTTTGACAACCCTACAATGTGCCTGCAGAGTTTGAAAAACATGCATAAAATAATTTTACAGTTAACGTGTACACAAGTCCAAGTTTCTTCTACTGCTGCTGTTTTCCATTTTTGCTGACACACAGTGCTACTGTTTTGTTTTTCGGGCAATTGTCTGAAAATGAAAGCCAATATACATCTTCATCCATACAATGTTCTTCTGAAGCAGTAATTAGATACATCACATACATTTTGATTTATCAAATTTACAAGGTGAAATGTTGTCTTTCACCCTTCCCTTTGCTGCCACTAAATGGTGTTGCTTCAATTTTGGGGTTATCTGTCTCAAAATTTACATAGTTTCAGTTTGGCACCAATATAATGCCTCTGCAAAGTTTGAAAAATATCCATCAAAAACAGTCCCGCCTTGGCACAGGTGTTAACCCCTCCATGAATCGCCACCTAATTGTGGTGGAGGAGTTCGTCTGCCCCTATGATCCTAGGAGCTATATTGTCTGGGGCAATTGCCTCTGGTAGGGTCTCCCAAGGTAAATTGGTCCTAGGTCAGCGGCCAGACTAAGTGCAGTTCATAATGACCCCTATGACGAAGAAAATCGAGGTTAGATGTTAACCCCACCTGGACTGGGGAGACCGGGCCCTGGAGCCAGGCTTAGGGCAGGAGGTCATATGCATAGCCCAAAGGGGTAACATAGCCTGAAGGGGTAACATGGGTTCTACCCCTGTGGGCCCACCACCTGCAGGGGGAGCCGTGGGGGTCGGGTGCAGTGTAGATCGGGTGGCAGTCGAAAACTGCGGCCTTGAAGGACCAACCGTCGGTTGCCCAAAACTGGCTGTCAGCACATGGAACTTAGTGGGAGGTAGAGAGATACTGATTAGATATAGTTGGGCTCACCGAATGCACGGCTTAGACTCTGGAACCAAACTCCTGGAGAGAGGCTGGACTCCATTCTACTCTGGAGTTGCCCATGGTGAGAGGCGCTGGGCAAGTGTGGGTCTACTTATAGCCCCCTGGTTTTGTGCCACTGCGTTGGAGTTTACCCTGGTAAACGTGAGAGTCACCTCTTTTTGACTTAGAGTCGGGGGAAGGGCTCTGACTGCGTACACACCAAACACTAGTTCCGAGTATATGGCCTTCTTGGAGACCTTGGAAGGGGTGCTGGAAAGTGCTCCTTCTGGGGACTTCATTGTTCTGCTGGGGGACTTTAACGCACACATGGGTAATGACAGTGAAACCTGGAAGGGTGTGATTGGGAGGAATGGGCTGACCAATTAGAATCTGAGTGGTGATCAGTTATTGAACTTCTGTGCTAACCACAGTTTGTCCATAACGAACACCATGTTCGAACAAAAGGGTGTTCATAAGTGTACTTGGTACCAGAGGACCCTAGGCTGTGGTTCAATGATCGATTTTGTAATTGTGTCATTGGATCTGTGTGGAGGAGGAGCTGAGCTGATCAACACCTGATAGTGAGTTGGATCCAAAAGCGGAGGAAGAAGCTGGATGGACCTGATAGACTCTGCGTCTGGCAGAGGCCTCTGTCCGGGAGAACTTTAACTTGCACCTCCGGCAGAAATACTTTTCGCTCCTGAGGGAGTCATGGGGCATGGAGCCTGAATTGGCCATGTTCCAGGACTCCATTGATGAAGCGTCAGTGCAGAGTTGTGGCTGTAAGGTTGTTGGTACTGTTGCAGTGGCAATCCCCGAACCCAGTGGTGGACATCAGCGGCATAGGGAGCTTTCAGGCTGAAGAAGGAGTCCTTCTGAGCTTGGTTAGCTTGTGGGACTCCTGACGTAGGTGGCAGGTATCGGCAGGCCAAGTGGAAAGTGGCTTTGGCAGTCACTGAAGCAAAATCTGGAGTGTGGGACGAGTCAGGAGACTCGGGAGCGGGGGGGAGGGGGAGTAAGGCTTTACTCATGCTATTTACTGCACGGATGGAAAACTGTTAACCTCAACAGGGGATATAGTCAAGTGGTGGAAGGAATATTTCAAGGATCTCCTGAATCCCACTGATGCGGCTTCCTTGGAGGAAGTAGAGCGGGAAGAATCAGAGGGGAACTTGCCCACCTCTAGGGTTGAGATCACTGAAGAAGTAAAAAAACTTCAGTTGTAAGGCTCCGGGGTTGCATGAGATTCATCCTGAGTTCTTAAAAGCTATTGTTGTTGTTGTGCTGTGTTGGCTGACATGCCTCTTCAACATTGCATGGACGTTTAGGAAAGTGCCTTTGGATTGGCAGACTGGGGTGATGGTCCCAATTTTTAAGAACAGAACCCAGAGGATGTGTCCCAACTACAGGGGGATCACACTCCTCAGCCTCTTTGGTAAGGTCTATGCTGGGGTACTGGAGAAGAGTGTCCGTGCGTTGGTTGAACCTCGGATCCAGAAGGAATAAAGTGGATTCCATCCTGGCCATGGAACACTGAACCAGCTCTTCACCTTCAAAAGGATACTGGAGGATTCATGGGAGTATGCCCAACCAGTCTACATGTGCTTTAAGATAAAAAAAATATACCAAAAAAAAAAATTCACATAAATAATAAATTCTAACTACATTTTTATGAACAGAATACAAAGTGGTCATGTGCAATTAGAGTGCAAATGAAAAAGACAAAGACGTGCCAGTTGTAAAAAGTGCAAATTTGGCATGAGGTAGATATGTTTGACAGATTCGATTGAGGTGTGCATAGTGTGAACTTCCAGATTGTAGTGTTTCTGTGTTGTGGGTCTAAGCAGGGATGTCTAACCCCGCAGCAGGCTAACCCCAGACACGCAGCAGAGAATGGATGGATGCATGGGCGTAAATCCCGGGGGGGACGGAGGGGATATGTCCCCCCCTATCCGAGGGTTGTCCCCCCAAAAAAAATTATAAAAAAAAAAAATCGCACTATCTATTGTGAAAAATATATGTATGTATACCTAAAATAATTCTGTAAGTGGAAAAAAAAAACAAACGCAAAAAATGCATTTAGAAACAGTTGAGTTCCCCCTCCCCTTCCTCACAGTGGTTTGGCCAACTGCCTGCTTTCCCAGGTCATCTCACCTACTGTACACACACGAATCAGGTGTGTGGCTGCGGCTCAATAAATGTTGAACTGCAGTAAGTAGGGTATTTTATTCACTTTAAATAAAGCGATTCTCTTTAATGTAGTTGATGCAGACTCATTCATAAATTAGTTGCGGCAAAAATGCTGATTACCGATGTAATTTTCCACGAATCTGCTATATTAGCGATTAAAATATTACTTATCTAGTTAACGTTAGCTTGTTTACAATAGCTTGTTGCATAGGGCACTGCAACTAACACGCCAAAGCCGTTTTCCATGCATTGTTTTATTTGTGACGACTTGGCATAATGTTAACTTAACATTAACGGCCACAATTAGCATATTGTGTAGCTGTGCATTTACTAAATGAGCACTGTGCTACGTCC